AAAAAAAAAATAACTCAAAAATCAGTAGCCCTTGAAAGCTATTTAGAAGAGGTTAAAAGTCACCTTTTAGAAATAGAAATACCGAAGCCAAAAGATAATTTGCTTCCAGTCAAATGCAAGGCACTCAGGGCCTTGAAAACGTGACTGAGTTAAACCTCAAAAAGGCCGACAAAGCAACAACAACCACAGTCATAACAAACGCGACAAAATTTTAGTAGGCCAAACTCTACTAGATAACAAAGATAACTACAGGCCTCTTGCATCACCCTCATCAGTTAAAACAGTAAAAGATTGCTGCGCACTACTCGCCATCTGCATACATTTTCTTTACTTCTCTTACAGATTTAGAGTTTGTTTGTCTGAGTCTCGACAGGGGTCTGAAATTTTGTGACGTCATTAGTGCAAAGCGCTATTAACTTTGGGAATGATCATAAAGCAATCATTTAAAATCCAACATCTGAGTTAACATGATATAATTTAGTACCTTACCTTGTCTAACAGTTCACCAATTTCTTCACTGGAAAGAAATGAGGACATTAAGCCAGATTCATTTCCAAGGACAGACATTGTTAAATCTGCAAAAAAAAAAAAAAACAAACAAAGAAAAAACAAGGAAATGGTTACAAGTCATAAATGCTCAGTTCAAACAAGACATCAATAAAAAAATTGTACCAACCCATACAAATCTCCTGTCTGTTTTATCAAGCATATCACTCTCACAATTTAGATGGGGTAACTACACAGACATACAGTTGCAACTTTTAAATTGGTATCCTAACAAAAAATTAACTACTGGCTACCACTTTTTCTCAATTGAGCACCAAAAGGTTAATAAGGAATTATTTTTTCCAAGGCCAGAATAAAAAAGTTGATCTAGTGTATGTTTTGTAATAAATTAAGACAAATTATGATTCATTGACTCATTAATACTAATCTTACCGTTGTGAACTTTCATGTAGGCAACTGTCAATTTCAGTACAGTGGTTTTATCAAGCTTGCGCTGTGAACTTGCACAAGATGGAACCATGGCTGCCAATTCACTTATGTAAATATTAAGCTTGTCACGCCTTTTCTTCTCACTCAAGTTTCGCGAGGGCCTGGGAATAACAAGATGTACACAGACACACAAACAAACAAGCCAAATAATTAATACAATAACAAACAAAAACAAGATACTTGAAAGTTTAACCTCCCAGTGTTTCAGCCAAGACAATTGGTGTCAGTTACCGTTGTTGGTATTTCACATATTTGTCATAATGGTTGAGAATACAGTTGTCTATCCAATGTTGTTATATTTGTCAGATCATGTGTAGAGAACAATAATTGTGGCACAAATTGGCCAATGACACCAACTTGCTCTCTCCATGTTTCAACCATTTTGACATCAGGAAAGCAGTCACAGAAGTATGATACATAACCCTTGAGTGACTAAACTTGTTCACAACAATGACACCAAACATGCACTGAATGGTGACTGCATATGACTTTTGATGAATTAACCCATAACTCTTTATGTCTGGCTTACAAGTTTGTAAAATCTTGAAAAATTCCCAAGAGATTAAAAAGCCAGAGCATTAACAAACTCAACCAGCATGGTCTTGTATAGTTCTCCCTACTCAAGTTAATTATTTCACAGGCATTTGCTATCACAAACTTGAAGAGATTCAGACATAAAAACAGTGCAGTGTATCATTGCTCTGTAAAAATTCGCTCTATATTAAAAAACAAGATTGTGATAACATCTTACTTGTATTTTTTGGAATTACTTCCATGGTCATGATTATCCCCCGCATCAACCAGCATTTCACCTCCATCCTCCCTATTACCAAGAAACAAGGATAATCATTATGTCGGTTTAATGATATTAAGATAAACCAATGACAATGATCATGACCATGATGATGGCAATAATGCCAACAAGTAATGGCAAAAGGACTGGTCCGGTTTCATATGTGATAAATAAAATCAGACAACCATGAAGAAGGAATTGAATTTGTTAATAACAAGTAAGATTACAAATGGAATTAGACAACCCAAAGTCTGATCACCAAGTAATCACAACTATAAAAAAAAAAATTGAGAAACAAACTAACCATTTGTTATGAATGTTATAAAAAACACAACAACATATTAACTCAGTGAAAAGCAAAACAACACCTGCACACAAGACATGTAATGTCCATTCACACAGGTGTACTGTATAACTCTTCAACTTCTCTATCCAATCACAAGCACAACACATACACCATTCTATTAGTATTCATATTGAGCTGGTGATAACCAACCACACCTGAGAATTTTGTTACAGTTTTGATTATGAAGATGATTGTACTTAACAAGATGCAAGTTTAATCATTAAGTTGTATGAATGAATGAATGAACAACTTTATTAACGTATATAAACTTTATTATTAACTTTATTAACTTTATTAACCTTTATTAACGTGTCAATCGTGTCAATAGTTTTTACAAGTAAAAACTAATTGGGGACACCTACTATGTAAACTAAACTAATAATTATAATAATAATAAGAAGAAAAACTATACAAACAATATAAATAAGATAAAATTAAGTTTTACATAACTCACAATTTTCACAATTATTTTTTGATATAACATTTGATAGGTCAAGGACTTGATTTTTAAATGGAGTTAGAGAGTCAGCCATTTTGATTGATTTGTGGAGCTTCAACCAAATATAATGTAACCAATAATAAATATAATAAATAATAATAAATAAAAAATATAATAAATGTAATAAATATAACCAAATATAATAATCCCATGTACCTTAAGCTATGTCTTCTATATGGGCTAAGTTGGCTTAATAATATCAATTTACACATAATAGGGATCATGACCCTTTATTTGAAGAGATGATTAACATGTAACTCCTCCTTATAAAGTCTAGACATTATCTAGCAAGCAGGTAATGAGAATATTCACACTAATCAGGTAAACGTTGTCATTTTGTCCCATTATGCATATTTGGAAATACTGGAGGGATCTTTTTTTTACAACTTGTAATATTACGGTTTGTATCCTACATTCATTTTCATAATAAGAAATCAACCAGCTTGTGAGTTCACACACACTTATCATGGACATAAGCTTTCCATAGAACTTATATCTACTACTTAATTCAGTTTTCCAATTAAGACACAAATGACAAGATTTAGGCACATGTTATCTGCCTCAGCATTCTGGCCGCCCCCAGTTGTTTGGTTGGATAATGATATGAACTGAATAAATTTCTATCCCATGGCCTTGTCTGATGAAATAGCGCTGTACAATTCACTAGCACTTATTCTGCTAGAAAGCAAGTTATCTGTTGAATAGTGTTAACTGCCCATTAAACAACTTTTGCATAGGAAGATAACTAACCCTCAGCCTAGATAATTCCTGCTATGATGCAGACCCACATCCAATAATTGTTCAATTCTAGATCTGGAAAAGCATTCCAGTAGCTAACTTGGTTCTTTTAAGGCAAGATTTAACCTGGCCAACTGATCACATGTTTCACTTTAGTTTATCATGGTGAACTGAACTGTATTTTTTTCCAGGAGAATCTCGAGACCGAAATTTTGCCACTAAAGCCATCTAGGCAATAATTATTTCATCAGAATTTCCTCTGACAAGTTGGTACATTCTGATTTTAGATGCAAATGAAAATTGGTAGAAGATTTAATTCAATCATTACTTTGTAAATCAAACTCTACTACAACAAAGATTTCTCAAAATACAACAAAGGCACGTTCCATTAGTCCTTTGCATTGGGTGACCCGAAAAGATCAATGTGATCGTACAAGATGAATTAACTGAATTCCTGCTGATGAAATCTTAACACGCACGTTGCATTGAACACAGACATCAGGCAAATCATCCTCGAAAACGAAACAAAAACAATATCCTCAAGTAGGTACTGCATAGGTCAGGGTTGAGAGAGGATAGTATCATGTGAAACTGGTAAATATGAACAAGATCAATTGATAAGACCTCAGCCATAGATAGTATGAGAAACCTTCGTACAGCTGTTGTACTTAGAACATAGAACTTAAGTAAACCAAATCGTTCTTCACGACCCTTCAGAAAGCAGTTGTATGAAAGGAAGAGGTTGGAGGTCATCGGTGATCAGTTAAAACATCCGTAACTATCATGACTCATCACAAAACGTTACAACTAACCCGTTTTCTACAGATTCGTTCATCATTGGCTCCTTGGCCCCCCCACTCTTGTTCATAACACTTTACCGCCATTCATGATGTACACAGAACTGCAAAAGGAGTGTTTGATAGCGGAATACGTCCATTCCTCAGCTAGCGTGATTGTAAAATGGCGATATATTTGCCAAAGCGCTTGTAAACACCCGCACGTCCTTCTGGAAGATTCGCCTAAACAAAATGGCGGACAGGGATGGAAGTTCAAAGTTTACCAAACGGAAATGATTAGTAACGGTGCCAAATCATTTCAGCACTTCGAAATCCTCCTTGTTGACAAACCAAATGAACATGTAGCTTAAAAGTCTACCTACAAGCAAAGCATTAACAAATCTACGTGTGACAACAGCCTAGAACGATGCAAAATCCCGTGACTTCGCGCTCGTTAACTTTCGGAAACATTCGGCAAATCTCGGCACTCACAAAACACTATCGTAGAGCCCAGTCCTATTTGGTTTTCTGTGGAATATCCCAGATCACTTGGAAATCATGTGCACAGGAAATGTAGCGAGGATCTCTTCAAATTACTGGAGAAGTACAGCTTGTATTTACCTTTTTATACCAACGTTAAGAAGCTCGGGATTAACTCATGTCAAATGTTCCTGTTCATTTCTAATTCACCTCACTGCCTAATAAACGGGAAAATTGGATTGAATCCTAAAGACATCGTAGACGTTGGATCAAATAACTAATTTTGGAGGAATTTTTTTTCGCGTCACATTTCTATTTAAAATGTAATGATGCTGGGAGGAAATATCGCCTCTAAGAGACTCTTGAGATCTATAGGATTAAAAGAACCAAACCAGGGTAAAAAAAGGAAATTCTTACCTGATTTTTGTTTGTGATGTTTTATTTATTTGTTTATTATATTTTGTTCTGATCTAATTTAATTTAGTCCATTTTCACTGCATTAAGTTTTGCAGTGTTGGTCCGGCTGCGGCTTGAACCCTCGACCTCCCGCACGACAGTCCAGCGCTCTATCCATTGAGCTAACCGCCTCCCGGTTAGCTCAATGGATCTGTTTTATTCGAGTCAGCTTCGGCTTCCCAGTGATCGGTGTTTTTCGTTCGTCACTATGATAACAAAATTCCAGTGGGGATGTTTTTGTTTGCCGTCTTGCACCAACTCAACCAGTTAGGAGAGGAAAAAAAAAAAAACTAGCAACACTTAAAGCAACTGTAAATCTAGTTCAATATTGTGATTTGTCGAGTGTCCATTTTCAGCCCTACGTGCATCACTCGACAGCCTCAAACTGAGAATGTAATTGAATGATGGAAAAAGCTTGCGGTAATGATAACAATGTTCTTGAGGAGGATGTCAATTTATTTCAACACATGACAATATTCCAACTTTCCAACCTGTATGACCCAGCTCTGTGTTCATCTATCCACTTCAAAAAATCAGGCCTCATTGTTTGCAGTGAAAACCAAAGGAAGGCCTGCGGATCCTGATCGAACAGATGTACGCAGAATATGACAGGAATCCATTGATTCAGGCTATATTCGTGAACCTCGCAGGTTGTAGCGTGTCATGATTTAACCCTGAAAGCAGGCTATGCAAAACGAGACAGAGAAAGTAGTAATCGTGATATTTTGGTCATAAATCGAGTTCAACATCACGTTTCAGTTCGCTTTTTCACAACTTTTCGTTACTGGTAACTACAATGATACAATTTTATTATCTAACTACACTTAGTAGAGTACAAATAACGCCATAGACGAGTACAAATATCACGCGATATTTGTACTCTAGAGTACCGGCTAAACAGGTTTTCTC